TTTTTTCCTTTTGTGCATTTAATAACCATTCCAACAATTTTAACGATTGTAACCGTAAGTAATTAGTATTTGGCCGTTTTTTTGGATATTTAAACCTAACCGGTAATTGCAAATGTTATTTTTCGTACCCAATTACGTAAAAAAAATAATGTTTTTTGGGTATCCGCTTTGGGTTTTTCGGTTTTAACTAGCTCGTTAGCCTTTTTTAGCAACCTTTCGGTATTTTTCCTAGCTATCGTAGTTTAATTAAATTTGGATTTGGTTTTACCGGAATTTTTAATCCTTTAAATTTTTAATAATTGCTTTGCCGGTAACCTTTCGGTAAGCCTTTTAAATATTGCGGGTTTATCGGGCCCTTTTGCGCTTGCAACCTTTTAAAATTCCCGCAAACGTTTTGCCGGTAACCCCCCGGCGGGCTTTAACCGCCGCGGCAAAAAAAACCTTTGCCAAAAAAAAAGCGTAAAGCGCGCAACAAACGCTGCCGCAATGCTTTTAATTCCAATAAATTTGCTTTTAAAACGGATATTGCTTTTTTTTCGCTTTATATAAATATTTGCAACGCGCTCCCGTTGCAAAAGGTTATCGATTTTTAATAAAGCGATAATTAAAACTTTATTTATTTACCTTTTTTTAAAAACAATTATACGGAGCGTGCGGTATTTTATGGCCGTTATTTTGGTCGTTAAGCATATTAAAATTATGCCGTTAACCTCCGTATACCGATATGTTTCGATAATTGTACGGGGTTTTTTAAATGTATTTATTGCAAAAACGTGGTTGGTAATAAAGCTTGCGTTAAACTTTCCAAATGGTTTTAAAAAATGGCTTAAAACCTTTACAAAATTTTAAATACCGTTTATAAACGGTTGCTCGAAGCGATACCGAAGCTTTTTAAAAAGCTTATTAAAGCTTAATTTCGCGCTCGTAAGGTTATTTAAAAGGCCAAATCTTTCCATACCATATTGGCCGAACAATTTGCGCGCTATAAACGTTAAACCGTTATTTAAAAACGCATTTAGCGCAAAATTGCCAGCGCTACAATATTAAAAGCTATTTAAAACATTTTTTAATAGCTTTACGCTATTGCCGTTTAAACGAAAAAGCAAGCTTAAGCTTTAACTAGCATTAATAACTTTTTTAACGAAATAAAAGCATTTTTTAAACGTTTTAAAAAAAATGTAATTATTTCTTTTGGTGGTATTACCGTTAGTTTTGCTACAATTACGGCGCATTTGGATACCCAAACTTATAACCGCGCGGTTCCCCGTAAAGGTGCGGCGTCCGTATTGGCGCTAGAAAGTACCGCCTTTAGCGCTAACGATTTTGGCGGCAACGATTGTAACGTTAGCAAAAAAAACGTAATTTCCAAAGGTTTTGGTTTCCTTAAATACGGCATTTAATCGATTTTTTTTACATATTTTTTTAATTAATTACTGGTATTCCTTTTTCGAAAAGTAATTAATTTTAAATTTTTTTCGTTAATTTGTTACAATTAAAACCATAATTTCCTTTCGTTATATTGCTTTTGCAATATTGCGAAATTCCAATGTTTTTAATTACTAACTAGGTTTTAATGCTTTAATAAATAATTTTAAAATGCTTTTTCCTTGCCCCTTAATGGGTTTAAATACCGCCGATATATATTTACCGCTACCCGAACGCTTAAGCCCGTTTGCCGTATTATCCGGAGGTTTTCCCACTTTTTTTTTAAGCAAGCAATGGTATTTTTTACTACAATATACGTTTAAAATGCGGTAATTGCTTTAACGTATTGCGCTAAATATATATTAAGGGTTAATCGGTGCAAAAGCGGGTAGTTACCGGGTTACGGGCCGGATGCGGTATTTTTTTTGTTAAACCTCCGTAAATTTTTTACCAAAAGTGCTATCGCCAACAAAAATTGTTCCTTTTTTAATTTCCCCTTTTTTCGTACCCTTTCGGGCACGCGGGGTCGGTTTTATAAATTTTTCGCGCTTTATGCGCTTTCGTACAATTTAAATTTTACCTTATTTTTTAATTTTGCCGTTATATTTTGGCCGCGATACCGGTAATTTGTTGGCATGTCCCCGGGGGGTTCGTGCTTGGCTAACTGCTAGCGCTTTTTTTTCTTTTTTTGCCGGGCGGTTTCGCCCGTACATTTAACGCTTTTTGCTTTTTGCCGAACGGTTTTGCCCGTACTTTTAATATATTGCCCTTTCCCGATACGGCTTATTCCAAACCGTTTGTACCGCGCGTGCGACCCCGTAAGTAGCCGGTAATTTACGGTATCCCGTTAAGCCGCCCCAATGCCCGGCAACGTTTAAAAAAACCGGCTATAAAACTTTGTAACATTCGGAAAAGTAAATTCGTACCGGCATATAAAAAGCTTTTGTTGAAATTGACAAGTTATGTAAGGTGCTACCCTGCACTTACCCTGCACTTACCCTGCACCTACCCTATACCTACCCTGCACTTCCCCACGTTAATTAACACAAGTTAAATCTGGAGGCCGAACGCGGAGATCGTTTTGGTGGCCGTGGGTCGATTTTTTGCAATCCCCATACAAAATAATATTGCGGAAAATCGCGCGCGGCACCGCAACCCTTTAAAGGGGAAAACCCTTAAGATTAACGTCGGTGGGTATATAAGGAAAGGCACTGAGTTGGCACCCTTTCCCTGGAATAGCACCTATTTCTAACAACCAACGTGGGCCTGTCAGCATTATATTATAGTGCTTGACAGGCCCGACCCTTGTGAACGTAACCTTATAAATTGCTGTAATCGTGCTGCAAAGCCCCAATTTGGACCTTGTAAAATAACAGCTTTTTTTCCCGTTCGAAACCGCAAGCCCTTTTTTTTTTTTTTTATGCACTTAATAACCATTCCAATAATTTTAACGATCGTAACCGTAAGTAATTGGTATTTAACCGTTCTTTTTAAACATTTGGACTTAACCGGTAGCTGCAAATGTTATCCTTCGTACCCAATTACGTAAAAAAAGTAATATTTTTTTGGGTATTCGTTTCGGGTTTTTCGGTTTTAGCCGGCCCGCTGGCCCTTTTTAACAACCTTTCGGTATTTTTTTTAATTATCGTAATTTAATCGAACCCGAATTTGGATTCGCCGGAACTTCCAATCTTTTAAATTTTTAACAATCGCTTTGCCGGTAACCTTTCGGTAAGCTTTTTAAATGCCGCGGGTTTATCGGGCCCTTTTACGTTTGCAACCTTTTAAAATTCTTGTAAACGTTTTACCGGTAACCCCTCGGCGGGTTTTAACCGCCGCGGCAAAAAAACCTTTGCCGAAAAAAAGCGTAAAGCGCGCGACGAGCGCCGCCGTAACGCTTTCGATTTTAATAAATTTGCCCCCAAAACGGACATTACTTTTTTTTCGCTTTACATGGGTATTTGCAACGCGTTTTCGTTGCAAAAGGTTATCGATTCCCAATAAAGCGGTAATTAAAACCTTATTTATTTGCCCCTTTTTAAAAACAATTATACGGAGCGTGCAATATTTTGTAACCGTTATTTTGGTTGTTAAGCATATTAAAACTATGCCGTTAACCCTTGTATATCGATATGCTTCGATAATTGTACGGGGTTTTTTAAATGCATTTATTGCAAAAACGTGGTTAGTAACAAAGCTTGCGTTAAACTTCCCGAATGGTTTTGGAAAATGGCCTAAAATTTTTACAAAATTTTAAATACCGTTTACCAGCGATTTTTTAAAGCGATACCGGAGCTTTTCGAAAAGCTTACCAAAGCCCAATTTTGCGCTCGTAAGGTTATTTAAAAGGCCAAATCTTTCCATACTATATTGGCCGAACAATTTGCGCGCTATAAACGTTAAACCGTTATTTAAAAACGCATTTAGCGCAAAATTGCCAGCGCTACAATATTAAAAGCTATTTAAAACATTTTTTAATAGCTTTACGTTATCGCCGTTTAAATAAAAAGGCAAGCTTAAACTTTGGCTGGTATCGGTAACTTTTTTAACGAAATAAAAACGTTTTTTAAGCATTTCGAAAAAGGTATAATTGCTTTTTTTAATGGCATTGCCGCTAGCTTTGTTACAATTGCGGCGCATTTGGATATTTAAGCTTACAACCGCGCGGTTTCCCGTAAGGGTGCGGCGTTCGTATTGGCGCCGGAAAGTGCCGCTTTCGGCGCCAACGATTTTGGCGGCAACGATTGTAGCGTTAGCGAAAAGGACGTAATTTCCGGAAATTTTGGTTTTTTTGGATACGGCATTTAATTAATTTTTTTTACATGTTTTTTTAATTAATTATTGGTATTCTTTTTTTAAAAAGTGGTTAGTTTTAAGTTTTTTTCGTTAATTTGTTACAATTAAAATTTTTAAAACCATAATTTTTTTTTGTTATGCTATTTTTATAGCATTGCAAAATTCCAATGTTTTTAATTACTAATTGGGTTTTAATGCCCCAATAAATAATTTTAAAATGCTTTTTTTTCGCTTTTTAATGGGTTTAAATCCCGCCGACATGCATTTGCCGCTACCCAAACGTTTAAGCCCGTTCGCTGTACCATTCGAAAGTTTTCCCATTTCCTTTTTGGGCAAGCAATAGTGTTTTTTATTACGACGTACGTTTAAAATGCGGTAATTGCTTTAGCGTATTGCGCCAAGCATGCCTTTTACGGGCTTTCCAAAGTATGCTACACTTTGCATGTTTTTCGGAATTTAAATGTATCGTACCATTAATTTAAAGCGTTTCCCGTACTATACCGTTTTTACCTAACTTTTTATTTATAAAGCACGATATTTTACGGTTATTACAAACCGCTTACGGGTTTTTTTACGTTTTTTCCCGGTAGCTAGCCGGTTCGGCACGTTAAAACATTTTTTTGGGCCATTTTTTTGGCCTTTATTACTTTTTTTTGTAATACCCCCGTTTTTTCCGGGTATTTACCCGTTAAGGTCCGGTATTTTCCTTATTTTATAAGCTCGCTTTTAATAAATTTGTTTTATACGTTTAAACAATTTTTTTCGTAATATCCCTTTTTAGGATTTACGAATTTTCCGATTCGTTGTAATTTATTTATTTAACCAAATATTTTCGTTTTCGCAAAGGCCTTTTATATTTTAGCAAAGCTTTTACTTCGAAGCAATCCTTTTCCTTTTTTTCGATTTTTGGTTTTTTATTTTTTGGTTTTTTGCCGGGCTTTTTTTTAAACGCCCGCAATAAATTTG